CCTGCATTCCAAAAGGTTTCAAATTGTTATCTGGAGACAAGGGAAGACTAATCGATATTTATTATTTTACGTCGCTTCTTCTCGTGTTTGTTCTGTGAGGTGTTTGTTGTCCAAACATAAAAATCTGTTGCAAAAATGTTTGTTGTCTGATTTGTCCGTAGTCCAAACTGTTTGTTAACCGATCATCCACTGTATACTGTAATAACTTTTACCAACTGTCTAGATTTTCACACATGACAACAGACACCATTTAATTCTGTTATAGTTTTGATTTTGTAAGTATCGTGAAAACATTAAAATTATTTGTGCTGAAAGTTAAGAATTAGAAAGAAAAATCTCAAAACTATTGAAAGAGTTATGACTATGTAATAGACTGTATTTAATCTATTAAATTTCAGTAGTTGTCACTCCTTCAATAGTTTTGAGTTTTTTCTTTCTAATATTTAAACACAGAGTCATTTGTTCCTGTTTTGTGCAGAAAATTAAGTTTAGTACAAAACTTAGGTTATAAAACAGAAGTGTAAATTTAGAAAATAAAATGAAAAAGTTATTGGTTTAGACTCAGAAGGGAAAAGTTCAACACAAATAGTTCAACCATACAGAATGAAAGTTTTTTTTCATAATTGGATTATTCTTATTGTTATAACCTAGTGAACATTTAACTATCATATAATTACAACAGAAACTGATATGTTCTTAATTATGTTTATAATGTGAAATAGAAATTCTTTTTGTTTGGAAATTTTTAGATTAAATACTTTCTATAGAAAAAATAACATTATTCATATAAGTCGACAGATTTATTATGAAAAACATATTGACTAAATTAACAGAGATGCAGAATAGGTCTGAATGCGCAAATAAGGTTCAAGGGAAATTTACAGTAGAAAGTTAATGTTATGACAATGGCCACAAAAACATTATGATAAAATGGAGTAGAATCTTAACTATGGACACTAATTGGGAATATTTTCTAAATTGCAAAAAACCCTGTTTTTAAAACTGAAAATGAAATATTATTTGCTTTATTTCTAATCAGTCATTCTGTACATTGCTGCCTACTTAAATAGTTATGCACTTGAAGTAAGGACAACCGTGGTTTCAATTTTCACATAAAAACCAAAACAGACCTTTAAAAAGAACCAAAAAAGAAAAATCTGTTTTTATTTAGTATTAAAAAGAGTTTTGGATGAATTAAATCAAGCCAACATGAAATTTTAAACAAAATATTCACTCATTTACCATGCAAAAAATTTGAAAATTATTAAACTTTATTTAGAAACCTTTTCCAAACTATCTTGATTAAATAGCCAAATAAGATTTTATCATCATTTAATAAACATTATTTTCCTTTATTTTATACTAGCTGTTATCTGCGACTTCACCTGTGTGGATTTTGCAAGCAAACACCATTTATATTCAGTATTTCAACAACCATAGTAATTGTTATATAACACTTACTGCTGAGAATCAAACAAACTATTTTCAATTTGATCAATTTTCTGGAATGTTTACAATTGTTCTATAAATCAAACCAATAACAAATTCGAATTTAAAACGATTCGAACAATTGGTTAAAAAATTGAAATATAAAAATATTTATAACAATGTCTGAAATGTTGTCAATTTAATACATCTAAGTACTCAATGAAGACTAAACATAGTTATAAACCAAAAATTGCATCTAAGATAGTACAGTAGAAGCGATTCTTCTGGTTAAAGCCTTAATGCTCTCCCTCTCCCCCGCAGGGAAATTTCAAAAAAATCCCTTCTTAGTGTGCGTTTCCACGACGTACCCTAACTGTGTACCAAATTTCACCTCTTTAGGTTCTGTGGTTTGCCCTGGGCAATGATTTATCAATCAGTCACCCAGTCAATCAGTCAGGACAAGTAATTTTATATATTTAGATATTTTTCAGATATTTTTGTAAAATAAAAATAATCATCAAAATATATTTTAAGTCTCAAAAATATGACAGCATTTTCAAAAAATAAAATAATAAAAAAAATCAGTCAAAATTTCAAAATGGTTTATCTTTTTGCAAAAAATGGTGCATTTATTAAATAATTTTTCAGAAAAAAATTGCATAAACATTGTTATAAAGAAATATTGCTTATTTGGATGTCAAAAAGACCAGTGATTAAATCACCCAGACCAATAATTATCACCCAGTGATTAAAATAGTCATTCATTACATCAGCAACACTTCAATTTTATTTCTATTAAATTATTACAAGTACATAGAGTTTATAATAGCATATTGTGAGAATACGGACGCTATTTTGTGTTTTCACACTAACTGCGTAATAAGCGAGGGTGACTTTCATCGTCCGAAGGTAATCGACGAGGGACCACGATGTCCCGTGATCCTCCATAAGTCTGAGTGACCGGACGAGAAATGACCAAATAAGGCAATGAATTTTTCTACGGCGGGGAGACGATAATAAATCAGAGAGAACTGTCAAAAGACGTCAACGAAATCCCAGATTTTTCCCACGCTAAAGAATATAAAAGGGGAACGATCTGACACCTCGAGAGCGATCGTCGGGGAAGAGAATGCAGTGGACTACTCTTCCAGCACTCCCAGGATCTACGAAGCTCATAATCGCCGCTCCATAAAAAGGTAAAAGACTTTGAATATTTTCTATTCTCTCCATATACGTCAGAATTGCTCCTCAAAGAGGTTAACCGAAGAAACCGCCGAGCGAACTTCACCAGGAAGAACTCTCTACAGATTAGGAGCGACGGAGCATACACCATAACTTAGCCGAACGGCCTGAGAAGGACATCGCTCCACATAGCCTTCAAAGGATACCTCGGATTAGAAGATGACAATCACAGAGCGTTTTATCAATGCCCTATAATATGAGAGCGTTTCCTACGAGGTAAACCCTTGCCATAATTATCTCTCTCTCCAACGTGAGGTCTCTCTCGATCATTTGAGTTAGGTTAGGTTAGAATATAGCATATCTATTTATATCTTGATACGCGTGTGTTGTATTTATTATCTTTACGTATATTTTCTTCTATGTTTATTAAATGTGTTGTTTATTTAAACCCGTGTAATCTTTTGGACACCTGATCACGACTTCCGACTCCTCCCCACTCATATCTTTAGCCCTCCTATAGCCATTCTCTGACAGCAAAGCCGGTAAGTGGGGAGAAGCTCTCGCTCTACCCCCTCGGTTCGCACAATATGCTGTATGTATAATGCAACGATGATGACAGATATTTGAATTAAAAAGTTCTTTTGATTAAAAAATTTACATTAATGTATGTTTAGTATAAAATTATACGATAAACCTATTTATTATTTACTAGCTTTTGCCAGCGGCTTCGCTCGCGTTAAGAAGTATTATTATTAATTAGGTATAGTTTTTGCGGCTTTACTTTTGTTTAGCGTGTGTAAAAAATTAGGGCCTACAAAACTTCTTTGTACAACTATGTACAAAGGGTACAATATATTCCCTGCAAAAACTATACCTAATTAACCCCCGTCAAATATAATCCGTTAGAAATATTTAGGTATAGTACATACTATTAGATACGGCGGCCACTCATCATCGGGTATATGTAACTCAGTGAAAACACAACGATAGAGCGTTTTAAAATACTACTAACGCCATCTATTGTCAACATTTAGAACTAAAAATTATTTTGTTCGTCTTAATTTATTCGTTCCATTAGGTACTGATAGGTTCAAACTAATACATTTACATCCCCCATGGGGGTTGAATTTATCAAAATCCTATTTAAGCGGACGTCTTCATCATAGTAGCTCCAATCTTTAATTTCAGTTCAATCAGTCGAAAATCTAAGAAGATTTATACAAACTTTCATCCCCTATTTTATCCCCTTGGGGTAAAATTGATCAAAATCCTTTCTTAGCGGATGCCTACGTCATAACATCTACCTGCATGCCAAATTTCAGCCTGATCCGTCCAGTGGTTTGGGCTGTGCGTTGATAGATCACTTTGTCAGTCACCTTTGAGTTTTATTTATTATTTATTTGTACAATTTAATTTCAAATTTTTAAACTACACAGAAATAATTATTAATTTGTTCACAAATTGTTTTTATTTTTCATGTAATAATTTATATTCTAGGGAAAATTTTGATCCCAAAAATATTTTGCACCTCTGTAAATTAATACAATAAAACTTTTTAAATGGTGAACCATACTGAATTCTATTATTTCAATGCACTTTAAATTCTATAAAAAGTTTAGCAAAGTATAACAATTTAAATGAAAAACTGAGGTTTTTGTAAACTTTAAGTAAGAAAAGGAAAATTAACTGCTCTCATAATTAAAAGGTCACCTTTATAGCAAGACTATTTTTTTGCCTCCCTGAATATGATTTTTTAAAGCAGTTTCTACTACAATCAAAAGCAATCTGAAATAAGATTTTAATTTTACTCAAAAAAATTAATTTGAAACCTATGAAATTTGCATTTGTCTATCATTTGAAGTTTAAAAACTTTTTCTTTTCTAAGTGAAAATTAATCATTTCTATATATAGTAGAGTGTCGATTTTCCGAAAGTCAATCATCCGAAAGAATTCCAGTCGGCAAATTTAAATTTTTGCCAGTGCTGTGGCGCTGCAATCTTTGTCTATGTCTTGGGCTACTCAAATATTTTACATTTTTGATACTAAATTAACATCTGATGTATAATTTTTTATTGTTTTTATATTTTTCAATATATTTATTTTGTTTGTACAAAATAAAAAAAATTTTTTTACGATACAATCGTCTTCGTTAGGCTTAACATCGACGAAAATTCAATGTAAAGCGACACGCAACGGAGAAAAATTTCAACATCGGATACATTAAACTATTTTTTCGTACATAAATCGGTTATCCGAAATATCAGTTATACGAACAACCCCAATCGATTCGGAAAATCGACGCTGTACTGTAGTCCAAAAATCAACACACAAATGTTATTTCATGTGTTATTAAAATATTAAACTTGATTTTTCAAATCAATATAACTTACTTGAATTAGCATCTGCCAAACGCAATCTACAAACTGAAGAAAAACGGGCGATCTGTCGGCATCGGAATGTTTATCATCTCCATGTCCAATACGCTGCATATCATTATTATTATTATTTTTTTTTTTTTTTAATTGTCAAAGGCAAAGAATTAAAATTAATCTGAAAATCAAAAATTACCTGAGCAAATTTATGGCCGAAACTGATCCACTCCTTTTCTACAAGTATTTCAAAGCCTTTAATTGTACGATAAAATGGATCTAACATCAGCATTGCCAAACTGGTAGACTGAAAGATATTTATATATTTTAAAAGAAATTACAACAACTTAGATTTTTCAATTAACAAAATACTTTTATTTCAAAATTATTATTTAATGAGCTTTAATTCATAAAAACTTTAAAACATATAACTATTAATTAAAGACAGTGCCTATTATTTCAACATGACCAATGACAACGACTCTAAAATATTTAATTAAAAGCTCATAATAATACAAAAAACAGGTTCATCATGAAAATGCAAAATTCATAATTTTGATTTTTTTCTAGAAATATTTGGAAAAAATGTTCTAGAACATTTGACATGGGATATAAGTATAGTAACTGGAGGAATTCACAAATTTCATTGGAAATAGATGCATTGGCAATGTCTGACAATATGAAACTTTCAAAAGAACACATTTGCATGCTGTATTCTATTGCTTCAAAAGTGGCCACAATGCAACAAAAGCACACGATCCCATTTGCAAGATACTTGTTAAAGTGTTCATGGATGAACAAAAGTTGATCGGCCATTGCAAATGTCAAAGGGCCAACAGTGCAGAAGAAGGCAATGATTTGCATTTGCTTGCCATTGTCAGGATGGAACTGCTTCCAACAGATATCACAGTAACAAAAGAACTGTAGCATAAACAACTAGATCATTTGAACACCAAAACCAAAGAACTCTGTTCAAAAAAAAAAAAAAAAAAAAAAAAAAATTGACAAAGTCTGATATTGCCATGCTAGCACGCTAACACAGAGCAAAGACGACCTTAGATAAGCTGGCTGACCGGCCGGCCGGTGTGGACCAAGAGGTTCTGCCTTACAGCCCAGACTTGGCACCAATCACCGTCTATTTCGTGCCTTGCAGAACCATATTCCAATATGCAGTTCAATGATAATATCTGACATTCAAGACTTTCTTCAAAGAAAAATCCTAGTCACTTTATGTTCATGGGATGGAAAGTTTGCAGCAAAGGTGACAAGACATATTCGATATTGGTGATTATCTATAAGAATGAACTGTCATCATCGAGTTACTTGTCAATAAAGTTTCTTTCAAAATGTCTAAATTTCACATTTACAACCTGATAATTGCCTTTATCAGAGATCCAAATATACTTGAAAAAATTTTAAAGCCTTCGATTTATTAAATTGTTAAATCAGGGAATGGAGAGAAAAATTTTTGATATTCTGAATGCCCAAGAAGTTTTTATCACACATTAGAAATTGCCTACAGTGGAACCCTGGTTAACGACCAAATCGGTTAACAAACTTTTATTTTGAAAAAATTTTGTCTCGGATAACGAACAAAATTCGGATAACAAACGTAACGGTATTTTGTGTCAAATTTTAGTTGGTGTTAGGCATGCACGAGTTAAGCATTGCTTTTCTGAGTGTTTGTGCTATACTTCTTTTTTCAGTTTTGTGATTTATATATTTAATCAATATGGCATCCAAGAAAGAAAAAAGTCATAGTGGCAATAGAAAACGACAATGTGCTATTGCATTTGAAAAAAATTTTGATTAAAAGAGTAAGGCAATCAACTTTAGATCAATTTCTTGTTCCTTACGGAAAGAATTTGTTTGTTAAATTATGCCAACGCAACACTCAGGCAATCTGCCTAGGGTGAATGCCTTCTGGGAGGTGTTTTTAAGGGAAACTGGTCCCTATTTAGGCATTACAGATGTGGAGAAAACCCGGAAAACTCCATGTGGGCAGTCTGTCTGAGCGAGGTGCGAACCCATGAACGAACTCCCTGTGTTCAAGGTATGAAGACCACTTAGCCACTGGTGGGTTTTTTTTACCGAAAGAGACTTTGACTCGAAGAATCTTCGGATGAAGTGCTACCCATTATTTTTTTGGAGGGAATTTCCCTTCTAAGCATTAAGGTTTGTATATCTCCACTTTTCTGCCACCAACTACAACAAATGAAGGTATGTACAGTGCTATTTTATTAAACAAAGTTTACATGTTTGTTGCTGTAATGATAGATACTACATTTTCCTACATTTTCATCAAAGAAAGTTACTGTATATTACAAATACAATCACAAAAATTTCGGAGACTAGAAAGGATTATTTGCATTTGCATTAATTTCTATGGGGAAAAATTGCTTCAGTTAACAAACAATTCAGTTAATGAACGGAGTCGTGGAACAAATTAAGTTCATTAACCGGGGTTCCACTGTACTTAGTCAAATGCAACAAATTACTAAATTTTCTCTAATTAATAAACTTGCACGTGTTAACTTTGTTTTCTTAAAAATTTGTACTTTTCTATATATCTTATTTGATTAAAATATCTGCAACTTTTATCAATATCATTTTGTTCTCTTTAAATGTTCTTGCTCAATATTACAGCTATGCAGGAAAATAATGGCAAAATAACCATACAGAAAAAAAACTCATTTTTGTGCCAAATTATAATAATTATTATGTAAATATTAACAAATATTTAAAGTCTCTCATTGACTTTCATAATTAATGCACTTCATAATTTTTAGACCCTACACGCATTTTAGCACACTGATTATTTAAAAGAAACCAGTTTTAGAACTGAATTTGCAAATCTCATTGGCTTAAATTTATCTAAGTTTTTTTAAGATAAAATAGAACTTTAATGACAAAATTTGACTGTTTAAACAGAAAAAAGACAAGCAATTCCAATTGAATAATATTTAGATATTTTCCTAAATAAGTCTCAAAACATAAGTCTGGGATTTCTTGGATGCTAGACTAATTAAAAAATAATAATTTGTAAGAAGTTTTGAAGTTATAGAAGAGCAAAATCAGCAACAATAATTCAATGTTAGAGTCGGTAAATCTAAAAAATCAGTAAGAAGCAAAGATAAAATAAAAATAACATTGAAATATTAGTGTGTGAAAATGAAGAAATTTATAATTATGACTTTGCTTATTAATAAAAATTACAATGAAAGTTCTTAAAAATAAGCCAAAGATTATTTTTGCCATCAATATTTGGCATTGTTGTTTACTTTCATAACTGAACCCAAATCTTATTTATGGAAGTATCTGGTATTATTGAAAGATTTTCAGACTGCAATTTTCAAATTTCTGACCTATAAATTTTATCTGTCCATCCTTTCTTAATCTCAAGAACAGAGTTAGACAAAAGTCGAGACCAGATATGGAAAACCATGGTGGCAGGAGGTCCCAATTAACTATATACAAATGTCCAGTTTGAAACAGAGGTCACATTATTTCAATTTCAAAATTTTCCAGAATGGAGTTAGACAGATGACCAGCACGATTGTATTGCTAATGGAAAAGTATGATGTATGGGGGCAAGACACTACTGATCAAGAGCATATAAATTTACTTAGTTGATCATATAATATAGAAACTTAAATTCTGCATTCCTATCTGTAAGTTTTGTGGCATGTGTTTCTCATCAATCGAATTTCTCATTTACTAGAAAGATTCAATATCACAACCTTACTGAAATGTTTATGATGAAAGTAAATTAAAAACAAGAAATTATTTATTGTGACATTGTCATCACAATGCCGAGTTGCAATTTTTAATCATATTTTTAAATTATTTAATTTAAAATGTATGCTCTACACCTCAAATTATTTGTGGTTTGCTNAATTTAAAAATATGATTAAAAATTGCAACTCAGCATTGTGATGACAATGTCACAATAAATAATTTCTTGTTTTTAATTTACTTTCATCATAAACATTTCAGTAAGGTTGTGATATTGAATCTTTCTAGTAAATGAGAAATTCGATTGATGAGAAACACATGCCACAAAACTTACAGATAGGAATGCAGAATTTAAGTTTCTATATTATATGATCAACTAAGTAAATTTAAACATGTTTTTACATCAAATATAAAAATCTTACTAAATACACTTGTGTAAATGGTTTTGGAATAAAACACTGAGAGTGAAAAAAATTTGTTGTTGAGAACAAAAATTATCCTAATCTAAAAAATTACTGAAAAAAATATAAGATAAAAAATAAATAACAGTTAATAAAAATATTACTGTTAATGTGAGAATAGCTAGCAACTTCTGAAAAATTGGTTAAATGAGATTTTTTAACATATGATACTAAGAAAGTCTCAAACATTCAAAATCATTTTCAACAATTTAATAATTTCCTTCATTCTACTTCTTTAATTTAGTAGTTTAATACAACAAATACAAATTCTAAAATTTTTCAAACTGTTTTAGATTCTATGATAAAAAGAATGCCAAAAGTACTTAAATTATTGCAATAGGCAGAAAAAATACAAAGTGCATTAATATGCTTTGCACTAATACAGGGGAAGATTTTATTTTAAAAAATTGACACTAGAAAAGACTAACAAAGACTAACACTTTTTCATCAGCTTGGTAAATAAATTTACATTTGTAAAAAGCTTACCACAGTTAATTATTATCAAATAAATTTTTCCACTCTGTATTTTGACTAAAGGGGCTATCCCTACTTTAAGTCATAATTAACCCTGGGTGGCAGAGCTAAATGCCAACGATGATTGAGGTTGTGTGAAGATAGTGTTGGCATTACTTTGTGTCTTTATTTTTCTACCTGTTGTATTTTTGATGATTTAATCAAAATTAAAAAACCCTTGAGTTTGACATAAACAGAAATACAGCATATCTGTGCCTGGTGTCACATTCTTCCCTCACAGCCGAAAGAAAGTGTTGTATGACTAAGGACTGGCATGATATCAAGCTTTATTTGGAACCACAATAACAAAACTGGAAGAACTCGAATATTTTTTGGGTTCTCTTAATGTTGAGTTATTGTCAGAGAATGACAAACCAAGGGTGCCATTAAGACTAACTCCCTTAAGATGCTTGTTGCCCATCTATTCAGTTAACACTTAAGACAATCAGCAGATACTATTAATTTATGCAATAAACTATTGAAGATATATAAAAATATATTTATAATTGTAGGCTTTCTGAAACAAAAAGCTAATACTGAAGTGTGGAATTTATCATGCCTAGGCAAGAAGGTTGCTTGAGCATTTCAAAATCAATAATGCCCAATCAACTGCAGTGGAGCAATCAGCATACTCCAGCAGCTAGTACATATTACTGTGCCATAAGACAACAAGAATTAACAGTAATATTAAAGGATTAATTTTTTATGGGCAGTGTCTCAGCTAGGTAGTGGAATCCCATCTTCTCTACCCAGACATCTCCATTTTGGCCCTGTTTGAAATCACACAATGGACATAGAAAAGGATCTCTTAGTGCCCACATGATAGAAGGAGTTAAAAATGAAGAAAATACTGAAAGATGAATTAAACCAGGAACTTGCTGAATAGTTAGATGAAAATGATGTAGAGAAGTTACAGTAGTAACTATTAGTTTGCCGTATAACAGCTTTAAAGAGATGACATTACCTATGACAAAGGTGAGAGACAAACTCATTGAAAGAAATACAGGTTGGAAAATATCAGAATGACTTAAAAGATATGGATTTGGGAAAAAATTCAATATTTGGAGGGATTTAACATGGCACTGGTTGCTACTGAAAAATCAGTAGCAACCAGTGCCATTTTTTACAATACACGATACAAGCCCTTTGAGTAATTTTATAAGATGGTAAAAATATTGTAAACGGGACTAAAAGTACCGTATAAGTGTGAAAATTAGACCATATGAAACTCATGGAACGCTTAAGCACTGAGGAGGAGCTAGTAAATTAACCTAGATCAAAATGCATCGGTAAAAAACAATAAAAGGAGTTTATAACCTGAAATGGCTGTGAGGTAATCTACCGGAGAGATTTTTTCGGATTGAAGAGACATTCACTAAATCAACAGAGAATAAACTGTTTTCTCAAAATTGGTTCTCCAAAAAGTAGTTATTAGTTTAAAGTTATACTAACAGTTTCTCATCAATTTAAATGTAATATGATATTCAGGTTGACAATATTCTCTTGCCTGCTGATGTACTGACAATGGCAACAGATTGCCAGTTATCAGCATAAACAGAATGATTAGAGAACAAGAGAGTGGGCTGAGATCAATAGAACTTGATGCTTTATATATATATAACAGGTGGGGAAAAATCCAGACAACATATATTGAAACATAACTACACTTCTCAAAAGTGAAATTGCAACACCACAAAGAAATGTGCATAGCTACATGCACATTGTAGGACCAGTAGAGGTGACAGAAATATGCAAATGATTAAAAGAACAAATAAAAATATGCAAAAGACATGTTTATTCAGTAATGAATATGATCTCCACAGGCAGCTATACAGGCTGCTGTATGGCGAGGCATAGTATCAATGAGGCTATTAATACTTACCCGAGGTATCCCTTGCCAAGCTATGTCCATTGTGGCACACTTGTCATCTATGGTATGTGACTGTGGTCCCCAGTGCATCTGACATCGTATGAGATCCCACAGGTGTTTAATGGGAGAGTGATTCAGAAAGGCTGACAGCCAGGGAAGAATGTGAATTCTTTGGTTGATGAGAGTTCACCATGTGACATGCAGTTGGGCATTATATTTCTGGAACACCATGTTGAGTGTGGTCTGCACAATTATCCAAACCACAGGCCCACAATTTATGTGATATACTGGTTCACTGTCAGAATACCAAAAATGTGTACCAAGGCTATCCACCAATTGAATATGATGCCTCCTCAAATCATGATGCTGGTGTGGGGCTAGTGTAACACTTGGCAAAAAGGGCTTACACATAGCATTCCTCAGGATGTTGTCACACCCATCCATGGCCATCATTCTTCCACAGACAAAAGCAAAATTCATCTGTAAACAATACCTGATGCCATTCAGTAGTCCAGTTGCAATGATGATGACACCACACCAGACATACAACCCCAAGTCGAGTGGTTAATGGCACCCTGGTTGCTGGTTGCCATGCATGAAACCCAACTTTATGCAACTTGTTGAGATTGGTTGGTCGGACACAGATACATCTGTTGATGGTGATAGGCAACTTTGTACGTCATGTGTCCTGGTAAACAGGTCTTAATGAGCCATTTGGCAAATCTGTCAGTCTATGCACTCTGTCATGCACTGGTACAATCCACTCCCTCTTCAGTGTGTTTGCAATGTTCTTCCATTCATTGCATCACACATCATCAGATGATACATCAAGCTTAACACTCATGGCAACTGTGCGCATCAACAAACCAAGGTCATGCAGCTTCAGAATAGTCTCATTCCCCAGCCATTAACTAGTAGTATATTGTCTTGGAGACAACAGCAAGGTGAATTTTCTATGCTTTTTTGAAATTTTAGCTGTGGCAAATCATCACCAATAGTATTTATGGGCTGAGCCGGTTAGTGGTCTTTATAGCCTGAAACTGGGTACATAACCTGATGCATACAGAAACTTAATCATTTGCATATCTCTGTCACCTCTATTGGCCCTGCAATGTGCATATGGCTACCTGCATTCCTTCATGGTGTTGTGATTTCACTTTTCAAAAAAGTATTTTTAATATTCCTTTCACTGAAAAAATTATCTTATATACACAAGTAATGGTAGACATTCATTAACAAACGCTAGTAAATTTATGCATAATGACCAGTAATGCCCACTTTTCAAAGATACTTCTTTGTACATCCAAAAGTAGACTTGGAAACATTCAAGTTACTATAAATGGTGTAAAAAAATATACTGGGAGCAATATAAAATTGATCTACATGGATTTAATTGTATTTATTTTATTAAATGGAGAGAATTGTGTTAATGTGATGATGTAGGGGAGAAGCTTTTACAATGATGTTGCTTGATGACAGAGTGGGAGGGAAGAAGGAAGAAGTAAGAAAAGATCCTTTTTTTGATAATGTAATAGATGGATGGCCCCAAAGTACATAACTTAATGAAAGTATTAAAGATAGATTGATGAAATTGAATTAAAATAAAAACTATATCAGCAATAGTTATTAATTATTAATTAATCAATCATTGATTAGTTATTAATTATTTGTCTTTAAAACCTGAGCAGTCCGATCCCAACCATCACTGCAATGGACCACAACGGAAGTTTTATTACTTTCCACTTTATCTGCAATACGTAATGCTCCTGCCAAAATTCTGCGAATGTGTTCCAACCAATGTGTAGATTCAATATTTGATAGCCAGTGGGCTTCATCAATTGAAGGAAAACACACTTCTTTTAATTTTCTCAGACTCTCTCTCATAACATGAATGTTATGGACATCAAGAAATACTAATTCTGCATTTTGATATGCATCTTCACTTTCATAACCACCACCTCTTGCCTATAAAAGTTTTAAAATAAATTATATTTTAGAAAAAAATATATATAACTAAAAAACCATATAAAATTTTTTAAATTATTACTTTATTAGCAGCAGCATTAACACTAGGTCTTGTATCCATAATGAAAATTTTATGTGACTGAGCATTTGCATCTAAAATCATCTGAATATATTTTTCATCATCTTTACTACGTTTTCCACTGACACCAACAAGTGGCTGGCTGCAACGAGTTATGGTAGCTTGACTTTCTGGATGTATCCAAGATAGTACCTGAGAAAAAGAAAAGACTTACTTTAAAAATTCAATTATAATATTCATCCTTATAGCAGGATGGCTGGAGTGATGGCCTGATTTAAGCTGTGCTTTGGTAATATAACCAAAGATGAAATATTAGTTGGGAATTTCACATCCAAACTACAATAAATCTGATTTCTTTCCTTTCTTTCCAAGTGAAAGAGACCTAGAAATGTACCAATTGTAAATCTGGCAAGATTCCATCTCGAATAAATTAAAGAATACATAGCTATTCAAATGTTCCCAAACGTGACACACCAAAGTCTTTTACAGAGGTAAATAGTAAATAACTCAGGGAAGAATACAGATACCTCAATGACAATGAGAGGAAGTGGTGATTCATCTATCTAACCCACCATAACAGATTAAAACATACTGTTTTGAAAAGCATTAAAGAAAGAATTTTAAATTACTAATTTAGAAGTGTCTAAATTAATAGAATTTTACAGCTCTGAAACAAAGTTTTGAGAACACATTAACAAATCTCAATAAGGAACTTAACACATTACAGAATTTGACCTTGTAAAAAGTAATAAAAATTTACAGAAAAACATAATGGCCTAACCATATATATTAGGCATTTAAAATAAAAAGAATGTAATGTATTGGAAATATATGGTATTCTAATAATTCTTAATGAGAATCCTTTAAATACAGCAGAAAAGGTATTAAAAATATATAGGTACTAAAACAGCATTTCTGCTTTCAGAACGAAATCTTATAATTCTGAGAAATCTCTTCCTCATTATAAAATTAATAAATTTTTACATAAAAACAAAGCCTTTATTATTTTTATTTTACTTTTTTATCTTATAAAAAAGTAAAATAAAAATTTTTAAAAATCCAGCAACTCTTCAACAATTCTCTTGGGAAAGAATCAGAGAAGGAAATTAACCACGACTGGAATATCATAAAAAATATTACAAATTAGCAAATCCACCAAACATAAAAATGTTCTAAAATTACACATAGTTTTGTTAGTTGATAACTATATACATTGAATAACTGCTTCCATCAGGGTCAATAAATTTTGTCACTGGTTTTCCCTTGATCTTCTCTTAATGAAAATAGTTTTGTTTTTAATCTGTGTATCTTTGCATAGATTTGTTCCATCATATTTTACAGAAATATTTGCAAAAGTTAAAAATTTTTTTCAAATGATAAAAAAGTAATTTTTAATAATCTATAATAGAACAATTTAAAGTGATTATATATATATATATATATAGATATATCACTTTAAATTGTTCTATCATATATATATATATATGTTGAGAGAAAATTATATTTCAAAGAAACATGTAAATGAGTAAATGAGAAATCTTATTAATAAGATTTTTTAAAAATACTTTCAAAATATTTACACATCATTATCACGGAAGTGATAAAGTAAATTACTAGGTGATAGAATTAAATGTTGACAACACCACTTAGCCAGTTGCACATCATTACTTTAATCACATATTCTTAAAGGTTAAATTGTTTTATTAATTTATTTTTTCCAAATAAAATTAAAACTGAACATGAAGTTAATGTGTTGTAGTGTTTTCAATGGCAAATTGATCTATAAGCAATGATTTCACAGATTCATTTGATAAAACAAACTTTTATTGTCATTTGAAAGAAATTTGTGGGCTTTGCAGTTTTCCTGTAAAATATGATTGAACTGATTTGTAAGAAAGTATATAAGACAAAAGATAAATTTCCCAAAATACACTTAAAAGAAAAATTCAATGCCCTGTCAATGATTTTGTGTTATCACTTTTCTAATGTTTTAATTTTGTACTTCGTATGTTAAATTAACGGAAAAAATCCTGAAAAATGACTTAGTTAATGATTTTTCCATTAGATTGGTTACCAATTTATGTTTATAAAGAAAAGTGAAATAAGTTGATATAGTAGACATGTATAAAGTCTAAAGTATACATACAGGAAGTCTTCCCCTACTTCGAAAATTGGCTACAGCTCGCAAATCATCATCAGTTGCTGCAGATGGCACAGCTAACTGAAATAAAGAAAAAGTTATCAACAAATAATATTTAAATTACAATTCAAAAAATATAAAATAAATAAATAACTGCTAATATCAAAGAAATCAACTTTTTAATTTAATTAAAGGAAATGTTTTCAGTCAAAATCTGGCCATCCTCAGATTAAAATTATGCTGCATAGTATGTAACAATTAAAACAAATTAAAAATTAATATTCTGACAATTATAATCTTTAAATTTGAAACAAATTTAATAGAACATGTAAAATTGCATAAAATAAAACTAAGAGTTAAAATAAAAAATAAAACCTAAAAATTTTGTACAAATTCAAGGACAAACAAATACAATTAAGCAAATTTTGCTATTAATCTCTTGCAGAAATAATAGAGATTAATGAAATTTATCAATCATATCCAAGAATAGCCAATTTCATATTCATCTTGTGTATTAATATTGCTTGTGTATTAATGTGTATTAATATAAAATGTGTATTAATGCTGTGCAAAAGCTAATAGAAAATTGCTCTAAAATTCTTATTGGGTATAACCATCCCATTCCTTAATTAATACAAGTTTATTCCAAAATATGTTTATGCCTGTGTCTAAGTTTATGCTCGTGCAGAAAAGGACATGACATTGGTTATAATGCCTTAATGTAATGTTCTTTTATCTTATTCGAAATTAATCCAATAGTGAAACCAATATAATATAAATGCTCTGTCTATTGATAAGTTTAATGATGTAAATGCTGGCTTTATATAATTTATGTATTTGAATATAATCCAAGCATAAGATTTGCTTAACAGTGGAATTTCTCTTTAACTATTATATTTATTGGTAAGTCCTTGATTAGAAATTTCAAGATACTGTCCACACTTTTGCCAGTAACTAATAATTATTTACTAGTAGTTTTTTCTACATTGCTGCTTTTAGTATATTATCTGTTAATAAAAGCATTAATTATGCCCTTAACTCTATTTTTGGCAGATCATTAAACTGAATGAAATTGATATGATTAGTTTTTCTAAATGATTACAGATCATCAGTATACACTGCTTTTCTTATACTGTAATTCATAAAAGAAAGTTTAACTTATCCAGACTTATCAAAGGCAACAAAACCCTTTGAAAATATTGTACACTACTCCAAATCTTACCTTTTCATACTGCAGTGTTTACATTTTTTAATTTTTTTTTTTATTAAAGTTACCTTGAAGTTCATAGAAGAACACAATGCATCACTACTAACACATTTTATAAAATGATTCATTTCTATTATCTAGATAAATCATTCATATTAAAATGTAACTATAATAATTATTCTTAAAATTTTTGTATAGTACGTATTAGCTGTATACTAAACAATGTAAAAATTGTTGTTCCTATATATGATTAAATTCACTACAGCATAAAAAGAGCTTGAAAGTTATATACCATATAAATCTTTTATGTTGGTAGTTTTTAACCTGATATGATTTAATTTGATGATATCTCAAATAAGTGAAAACTTGGTTATTATCCAAGTTTTGCTTATCTGAGATACCATCAATCCATATTTCCTTGGATAATCAAGATTCTACTGAAAGTTATTTTTAATAAAATTAATTTGTTTGAAACTACAGTAGACTCTCCCATAACTGAACTCTCCCTTATCCAGACTTATTAAAGGCAACCGAAACTCTCTGAAAATATTGTACACTACTCCAAATATTACCTTTTCATACTGCAGTGTTTACATTTTTTAATTTTTTTTATTTATTAAAGTTACCTTGAAGTTCATAGAAGAGCACAATGCATCAACCACTACTGACATGATAATGACGGTGCATTGGCACAATGTAGCAGCTTTTCAGCAAATTGAGAAGAACAAAAACAACTTTAACACAACACTTTCAAAATTAATTGCAATTGTCAAAAATAAGCATCAAAGTTAAAGTGAGCATTTCTTACACATACAGTAGGCATGTATGTTATGATCTTATTTAAAAATAATCACACTCTCTTATCTGGATTACTCCCATCCACATTAGTTCAGATCTGAGAGAATCTACTCTTTCTATTCTTTTATAACATAAATCTTCTGACATGATTGTTGAAATTTGTTTTACAATAATACTGTTAAGTTTTAATATAAAACAGAACTGTTGGCCTATATTTACAAACTGGATTATGTTACATAAAAGCTTTTTTCTCTACTTATTTATGTTATTTGGATAAAAAAATTTTTATAATTTGTAATTATAAATGTTTCTGTGCTGGTTATAAAATGTTCTCCTAAGACTATCATTTATTTTTAAAAATCCATATATAAACAGGTATTTAATAGCATTTTGAAACTGGATATCTGTAATTACTAACACCATAAGAACCTTTAAAATCCAGTACAACATTTAATTGAACAAGAAATACATACAATAACAAACATTTTTGATCCTAATCTGATCTTCAGGTCAAATATATTCTAATTGTGGAATGTTTAGAACAAGATACAAAATTTAAAAAATTATTATATAACTTTCACACAAAATGTAATATTATAAAAATGACAATATTTACATTAATATAAATTTGTTATTAACAAACACAAGACAGTTAATAAACTATGCAAAAAAAAAAATTCAAATGATACATTTGTATGTTTGCAAATTAAACTAACTGAATTAATCCAGCTTATTATAAAAACTCTGCCATGCTTATAATAGACTTTTTTCTTCTTTGAAGTTCATGCACATGCTTTTAATTTCAGATTTATGAATTTCAATTGTTACCCAATGTAATTTCTGTTAAACTAATTATTAAACTATGTATTGAAGTTGCGGAAAAAACAGAAGAGAGGAGAAAAATACACTAGCAGTACAGTAAAATCATAACAACAAATATAAAATGCTCGTGCCAACCACACGTCAGCGCTAGCATTTTACTGTAAATGTCGAGTAACTATTTATAATTTTTTATTTCATGGTGAACTCAGGATATGTTTTTCTTCCAATTAGAAGTTCAGACTATTTACAAAAAAGTTTTAATTTTTGAGTCTATCTATTAACCCATTAACATAACCACAGTAATACCCGTGACATTGGTTTGAAGAAAAACTTCAATAAAAACAAAAATAAATAGGTAAAAACTCACAATATTAAAAATGATCAAAACATCAGCCTTTTAAAGTTTTGAAGTTTTTCTTCAAACCAATGTTACGGGTACTTCTGTGGTTGTGTTAATGGATTAATAGACAGACTCAAAAATTAAAAATTTTTTGTAAATATTCTGAACTTCTAATTGGGGAAAAAAATAATTTATGTTGTGTAGTAATGTTTTAAATGTGAAAAAATTACAGATTTTTACTGATCTATTTAGCTACTTTGAAGTGAACATTCTAATAAATTAAAATTTCAACTTTTAAAAGTCTGCAAACAATTTTTTAATTAGTTATTTTTTATTCTAATTAACAATTTCATCTTTTTATAATCGCTGAATTATTAAAATTAAAAATTAAACACTATTACATAAAAGTAGTTTATCCTGTTATTAATCCACAACTGTAAAATTATATGACTTCAGAACAGTGAAAAAAGCCATTTCAAAATGGATTCTGGTGTATTTTCTTATTAAAGATTGCAGCATTACTTCTTGCCGCCTGCAGATGGCTATAATTGGTCATCCATATTCAGCAAACGAGATCAACAAGGCAGCTAAGGAGACAAATTCCCTGACTTTTTCTGAACACTAATGAAAATCCCTGACTTTCCAGGTGTGTAGGGGGGACCCTGATCTTACATTATTGGATATGGGTCTGTGTAGCTTCCAATCTGCTTGTGTATCCACTCTCAATGTATTCATTGTCAAACTCCTGTAGTGGGCACGCAATCCTGAACAAAGGACCATTAATGATTGGAGAGGACTGTGTGGTTTGACAAATACCAATTTTTGTTACACCAAACAGGAGAGCTCGAGTGCACCATTTTCCCAAGGAAACCTTCTGGAGGTATTCATATCTGGAGGTACTGTGAAATGCACCCAGGCCAGTGGTGGTAGTTTAATGGTCTGAGGAATATTTTCTTCGGGATCACTATTGTAGTAGGAACTCCTCAACACAGTAGTAGAAAGTCTGAAAGCTGACACTTACCTGCAAATTGGTGCAGACCAAGTACATTCCTTTATGGTGACTGTGTTTCCTGCCACAAATGGTATCTTTCAACAGGTCAATAAACCATGTCATAAGGCAGAAAAGGTTCATGAATGGTTCCAAGAACACAATGGAAAATTATCTTTAATGACATGGCCCCCAATTCCCCAGACATGAATCTCATTGAACACACATGGGTGCTTTAGATAAACAGTTACAAGCTGCATAAACCCAATTCCACAATTTACAGAAACTGCAAGACTTTCTGTTTCAGACTTGGTATGAAATGCCAACTTCTATTTACCAGCATCTCATTGATCTCATCTCAATGGGTAAAGGATCTTTTGGTGCAAGAGGAGGTATTACCCACATTGTATTAGGTGGTTGGTTTTAATGTTTTGTCTCATAAGTGTATGATGATATAAATGTACAATTTGATAAATATGTTGAAAAATGATAAACTTCACTATAACATTAATGTTAATTTCTGGAATGTTTTATAATCTATATACTTACTATTGCAGGATATGTATCACAAAGTTCAAATTTTTCATTAATTTTTGTAATTTTCCAACTTTCATTAGGAAGACCCTGAAATAAATAGAAAACATTTAGTTATAAATAAAAGTAAATGAAACACTTAAAATTTTATTGATTTGTAGAAATCTGCCTGCTTTGAAATAGAACTATTTGCAAATAATAATAATTTTCAAAAAGTAAATATATTTTGGAAAAGAAAAAAAGCAAAAATCTTAAAACATTTTAAAATCCAATTTACAGTATATATCATATAATCTTTATAGTTTAGGAACACAAATAATTCAGTTTTTTACAATGGGTTGAATTTCATGCTGATCTTTGGTTAAACAAGAGAAGAACAAATTATCACACAGGCATTAATTACATATAAATATCACTATATTTCACATGCCTATTCAACAGATTATGGTGCATGCACATTGTCACCATGCATGTGTCAATTTAAATTCTTTATGTTTAGTTGTTCCAAGTTTAGCTTTGTTCTAAAAGAGTAATACAGTTAGTTTTAATTTGAAATCTTTGTTTGAAAAAATTTTATTTGTGATTGTGTCTGTCTGAGGATGACGTTTTATACCATGTTGAAAGCGCTTGCAAATATAGCAATATTTATATGTAATTAACCCGTGTGATAATTTGTTCTTCTCTTGTTTTACAATACTTTATGACAAACAAATTTAAAAAAAAAAAAAAAATATTTTATCAATGTTTTGTATTTCTAAATTATGAGGTTTTGAAGATAACAGTTTTAACTCTTAAATCATTTATCTTTTTGTAATTCAATTTTCTTCTTATTTTCAAATAAATCAAGAGGAATTTCTTCATTAAAATATTTAGAAAACCTTTGAAAAAAATTCTTTCTGGGTAAGTTCATGGAAGTATGAAAACTGTCAAGAAGCTCTTTCTGCTGCAGTTTCTGATAAGTAATTCAACATATGATATATTTGTAAACACAATTTCATACATTTCTGAGAAAAGTGACCTTTTGAAAATAATGTCAGGATCAATAAAAAAATACAGCCAAAATAAAAGAATATTTCAAAATCATATGACATTGATCCATAATCTTTGTAGTTGTTGAAATCAAGAACTATTGGCAGCTTAAATTAAATTCTGCTTTAGCTAAAAATTTTCATGCATTGGCAAAATATCATAGCTGAATATTGAAAAAACAATAGCTTGATAATTAATGAAACAAAATCAAAAATAATTTTTTTATACAGGAAGAAAGCTTGGGCAAGCAATTAATCTTTACTCAACAGAAAATTGAAAATAGTCTTGAACTTTAAGTACAGTATTTATTTTCATCACAATATTCATTTTGTTTTTCACTTAGAAAAAGTATTTCTAAATTGTAAATTTAAATTTTCTAATATTCAGAAACTGTTAATTACAAAGAAATTATTTTCTGTTAATTATTGTTTTACACTTCTTGACTCAATAGTTAAGCATAAGCTATATGTTCCCAATCTGGCATACTAATTTTGCAGAAAAACTGGAGAATATACAGTTATGATTTTTTAAATGAATTTTCCATTTAAATCACTCAGTCTCTGGAGATTTGAATCAAGTACACCATTTTTTCTTATTGGTTTAATTATGAGTTTACTTTGTTTTAGTTTAAAATTCTAGATTTATTGAAAATTGATTTTAGGACACTGGCTTATAACAAAGTCAAGTCTGAAACATCATTTATAGTGGTATAGCTTTTCACAATCAAAAAATAGTAGAATAACTTAAGTTTCTCAGATATATACCAATCTCGGCTTTCTGATAATGGGCTTTTTACTACATTCATTAAATTATAAATATTGGCTACAAGATAAAATGTATGTCAAATGAAAATATAGTTGGTTGAGTATTTCTTCCTTTTCAACACAGACTATGCATTATTAAATGTCATTAAATTTAAATTATAAGATTAAAGCTTTAACAATATAGATTTATTTAAATAACAGACTAAACATTATGGAAAATACTAAATGTTCCTTTTGTGCATTGGCATGTTATAGCTTCATAGGGACCCAAGCAAATTTGAATTAAGGACCCCCATGTAAAGAGTTGACTTCAAACATTTTCTTTCAGGGGAATCATGAAGATCATGTATCCTGACAGGTTATATGATTGTCATTAAAGTTAAATGTTTCTTGTGTGATATGTTTCTTGTCTAGTTTTGTGTTCAATTATACGAGCACTAAGGTGGCTTTTCTTTTTTGCTAGACTTATTTATTTGCTAGACTTATTAGTAAAAGGAGGACAAACTTTAGAAAAACTTTTTATTCCTTTGAGAATGCATTTCAAACAATTATGCCCCTTTTCAACTCTGTGTGTTACAACTATATAAGAAAAAAAATTACATACAAGTTAGCATAATGTATACAAGTTTGCACAGAAAAACATCATGATGTTACAAATTTGTAGAAGAACATCAGGAAACTTATTGAGATAAGCAGAGAGCCAGAGGAATGATCCCTAATGACCATTTACACTTCACAGGTTGTTAAAAACCAATCTCTGCATCGGTGGATGGCTTAGGAGGGCAAAAAGTGAGAGAGGAGGTCGCAAGCACGTGGACAGGTGTCTTCACGGGAAAAGGGTTGACAGGTCGACAAACACAACATTTATTCATTAACTAAAGTTAACACAAAATTTGGTTACAAGTCTATCTGACTAAACGCTGCTCGATTAAATGCGGTTAATTGCGATAAAATGCTACTCGGGGTAGAGAGTTCACAAAGTTCTAACAATTACCTCTATGTGTAAGATTAGAGGGATGGCTGAGGTATGGTGGTCGTATGTCTTCTCCGACGAGATTCTGTTCCTGAACATGGAGATCGATGACAGAAGTACGGAAAATAACTTCCTTGGGTTGGTCTGTCCTATGTTTCCGGTAGCGCCAGCTTTTATAGCGTTAGTGTGGGAAAGCCATCTGTTTGTTGACGATGACTTGCATTTCATGTTAGCTAAGTGTCAACTTTCCCACCTAACTGTTGATAGTTGGAGGAGACCTCTGCTCCGATACTTTGCGAGGAGTTTTTCTATGGGAGTTGTTTACAAAATTTCAATCAACAAAGAAAAGGGATAGTTTCCTTTCATTTACAAAATTCCCACTTTAAAATCCATGGTCTCACACTTACATGGGTTATGAGAAATGCAGGAGTTGCAATGTTAGATAAAATATGGATGGTTATGGTTAACAGGTATAAGCTAAAAAACAATGATAAATTCGAAAATTATTTACAAAAGGAAAAACAAACTACATATATAAAAAAAGTTTAGACTTACTGCAAACATAATGGTATAGTACATAGTGTTGGAAAAACACTCCAGTATACATGGTACAGTGCAGAGGCAAGGTTATAAAATTTGGGAAACTGTGATCTTGATTACAGTAAGATCAATAGAAAAATATTTTGAGAATGACAGAATGATGGGAATGATGGAATGAAGAAAGTGCACCGTAAAATAGAAAAAACATAAGAAAATTGTTTTAACTTACAGTAGAGTTGTACACGATGTGCTGATACACAAGATGTAAGAGGGAAAATTAACAGGATAAAACAGAAAGGCAACATCTTGAGGTAGGGGAGAGATAGTGGGTGTAAATGGTATTAAGAGAGATGAGGGAGAAAAGGGGTTTTTTTTTTTTGAGGGGTTAGGGTAATTTAGAAAGTGAAGGCGAAAGTGGAAATGAGACGTAAGAGCACCCTGCTGGGTACCATATGGAAGGATGCACAGATAATGAGAACCTGTCGTACTTTAACACATTAATTATCCACTCCCCTTGCATCTTCTCTTGGTCAAGTATGGATACCAAGTTTCATGTAGTTTTTGGCCAATGTTATTATTCATCATAATGTCTTAGTTTTTAAGGATTTCTAGATGTTCATACCATCTCCTTATTTGCATATGTGAAATCCACGATTTTTACGCCGATGTTGGAAAAATCTTTGTAAACAACTCCGATGGAAAAACCCACTCTTGGTGAGAAGTATATCGGAGGTCACCGATTGTTTTCACATTATGGTGGGAAAGTTGACAGTTAGTTGATCGAAATGCACCGTAAGTGTCAACTGAAGTCGATCACGTGACTCATTTCCCAAGAATAACGTATAAAAGCTCGAGTCCCCGAAAGCTCCGCGCGATCCCTCAGAAGTTATACTTGGTAGATGTGCCATATTTGTCTCCATACTCCGGACCGACAGGACATACGACCAACCACAGCCGTTTGAACTTCCATCGCCATTAACGAACATATTCAACGAACGCATATTAGACATATCCACATAGAGGTATCTGTACTTTTTAGAGCTTTGTGAACTCTCTCTCTCACTAGCAGGTAAAGCTATTAGAGCGTCCCTTTTGTATAGTGAATTTATTTAATCGCATTTAACCTATGTATCCTAGCTTAGTTATATAAATAAATGCTTGTTTTGTTTTTGAACCTGTCTCCTGTCTCTGAAGGACACCTGCCGACTTACCGACGCACTCCCCACTCAAATTTTTGCCCTCCTAACCATCCGACAAGCCGAGAACGGGTTTTACCAACCTGTTGCAGAATAAGTGGTCATTTGGGATGAGCCCAGTGACCCACTGCTAATCTCACACATATGTGATTCTTTTTTGACAATTTTTAGTTTCCTTAATGATTTGGCAACCTTTGTTGTTACAATGGACAGCAAATGGACAGTAAATGTCTTAGTTTTTAAGGATTTCTAGATGTTCATACCATCTCCTTATTTGCATATGTGATTCTTTTTTGACAATTTTTAGTTTCCTTAATGATTTGGCAACCTTTGTTGTTACAATGGACAGCAAATGGACAGTAAATGTCTTAGTTTTTAAGGATTTCTAGATGTTCATACCATCTCCTTATTTGCATATGTGATTCTTTTTTGACAATTTTTAGTTTCCTTAATGATTTGGCAACCTTTGTTGTTACAATGGACAGAAACAGCTGAGTTGCAATTATTATATTTAATCACAGTTGTGTGTTCTTTAAACCAGGTCTTAAGATTTCTGCCAGTTTCACCTATATAGGATTTGGGGGGAGTGCAGTTGTAACTGAGTTTGTAAATTACGTTTTTTTGGTCTCATAAACTATTATAATTATTATGTGGGTTTATCTTGTAATTATTCAAACAAGATTCTGGCGTTAAGGTTATACCGTAATTGTGTGATTTAAATTTGATTCTTTCAAATATATTTAGTTTGTATGAAATTTTAAAATAATTTTGAGTGATCGTATTATTTTTATGTTCGTGTTTATTAGTATTTTTGGTGTTGATCCATTTGTTGAGTGTGCTTTTGCTGTATCTGTTCATTAAAAATATTTTTATTACATCCTGTATCTCCGCAGTTCTATCAGTTTCATGAATAGTGTGTCATAAGATTTTGTCAATGTACATGTAAAAGATGTTTTTCTTGATGTAAGTGGGTACTTCATGTGTATAATGTATGATACTGTCAATGGTGTATGGTTTTTTGCATTTTTTTAAAAGTGGTTTTGTTATTAAATCTAGTGACATGGATGTCTAGGAAAGGTAACTCACAGTTGATTTTGGGTTCTAAGTCAAATTTTATATTAGGGTCTATCTCATTAACAAGTAGAAGAATCTGGTTGATATTTATAATGTTACTATCATAAACAATGAAACAGTCACCCACATAGCATTATGCCCGTAATGTTTGCGACCTTCTTATCAATGTCAGTCATGTTAAGATCAGCTTAAATGTTTCTGTCTGTTGATGTATTTGATGAGCAACCTGTTGTTTGATAAGTTCAAGTGTTGTTTGTGGGATAAAGTTATTGTGTATAATTGTTCTTTTTTGATTAACAACCCTTTGTTCGGTGACAGTGAGGTGAGGATATTGTTGTATGAATCTACAGTGTAGTTGTTGTCTGTATGCTATTATGTTTGTTTTGAGTTCATTTCTTTTGTCCATTTCATCCGTTGGCATGGTTTTCCAACCTTTGTGGTCTGCAGATGCATTTTCACAGAAACACCAGGGCTAGGATGGTTCCTTACAACTGTTGAGGGCATTGCAGTAGCCATGCTTGGGCCATTAGTAGCTAAGGGAGACTGTGGCCTATTTTTTGAACGTGAGCCTCTGCCTAACTCAAGCATGGACCTTGTTAACCCGGGTGACGTCTGAGCCAGTATCACACTTAGACCTGGTTACTACCATGGTAATTATCACCAGAGAATGTGGGTGTGGTCACTTGTAGCTTCATTTCTCCCAATAGACGTTACTGGCATTGGTGTTCCTATCAGGAGCTTGTGCTCAAACCTCAGTAAAATTACTGGGTTCTCCCACTATGACCAGGTGATGACCATGAACAGTTGTTGTTGTTATTGTTATTATTATATTTCTGCTAAATTTTCTAGACAATTTTATAACAATGTAATAATCATAAATTATTTCTGTTTATTTTAAATTATAAAATAATACCTGTCGTTTGTATTCTGCAATAGGTTCATAAACTGTCCATCCATTAATGGGATATTTTTCTTGAAATTCAAATGCAAAGAGAGGCTGTTAATATTATTATAAGTTAGTAATTTATATACTGTAAATTAATTAATAAGATTTTAATCAATGATATGCACCAATTTACTGGAAATAGGGAAAGCATATTGCTGTAATTTCTCAAACACATCACGTCTTGAATGATTTTCTTGTTTGTGAGCAAATCTCAAATTTCTCATGTCTTTGCAAAATAATTCTATGCCATAGGAATTCTCTCCACGACTGGTAGCTCCTCCAACTTTTTCAATTCGGCTAACCACACCAAGAGGAACATCCAACACAAAAGGAGAATCCTGAAATGATATTAAAAATATACACACTGTCAAAAACAATTTTACATCCTGTACAAATTGTCCAATTAACATAAAAATTTGTGTATGACATATATATAGCTTAATTAAAAATTATCTAGATTTCTCAAAAAAAAAAAAAAAAAAAAAAAAAAAAAAAAAAAAAAAAAAAAAAAAAAAAAAATTTTTTTTTTTAAAAAAAAAAAAAAAAAAAAAAAAAAAAAAACAAACATTTTATTTTATAACTATAGAGCTAAAAAATAAAGATTTAGTAGGTGGTGCTTCCACTCCTGCTGACAATACATACTGCAATACAGTTTAGTAATGAATCATACAAATTCCTAATTCTATCCTAGGTTAATAAATTATTTCACCCATTTTCCACTTGTCATAATTTCTTGATGTTTCTTGCTTAATTTCTTGAATTTTCAGTGTAAATCAGTGTACTGTCATCCCATACATGCTCAAAGATATTTAAATCTGGGGACATTGCTAACCAGGGCAGGATGTCAACAACTTGAAAGCATTCTACATTTTGTATCTGTAAGTAAATAATCATTATCTTTCTGAAAAATGGATCCCTATAATTCGGCTGAAAAAAAAAGGACAGACTGTAAAATGTTGACGACATACTGCTGCATTATCAAACTACCAATAATAAAGATGAGAGGAAACATGCCATTGTAAGAAATTGCATCCTATGCATTACACCATTTGCTCTTATTGTATGATAATAGCCTATATAATAGTATATCAAATCATGCTGTTAGCCACAATGTCTCTACACACAAATTTGTAATCATCCTGTCCTATGAAGAAAAGAGACTTCTTGTCAAAAATGACTTGCTGCCATTTTGTTGTCATCTATCTTTCTCAGGCTTGAGACCATTGCAGTCAGGCACATAATGATATACCAACAAAGACAGGCTTCAAAAAAAGGACAACATGAGTGAAATCTGACCTTGCACAGGCATCAACCAATGATACTGGGTGCTGGTACAGAACCAATTACATTTGTCCAGATGCTATAAGCAGGGATGCACAACCTTTTCTGAGAAGGGCCAGGTTAGAATTAAGTTTACTGACCAGATCATTTTACAACCCTCTTTATTGACACAAGGAGTCTAATTACTTTCACGGCAGCCAGCGTTAACAATCACAGGAAGTTAATGGCTTGATGCAATTTGAAATAATTATGAAATCCAAATGGTTTACTTTCAGTGGTATGACTCTATTCCAACTATTAATTTTCTTGGTCCAATATAATAATTAAAAATTTCAACACAGAAAAAAATTTGTTCATAGCAGTGTATGGAGAGACACTATTGTAAATAATTAATTGTTATAGCTTTTGTACATTTCTTTTTGAACTCTGATTGGTTTTTTTGTAGTTTGAATGACATTAGGTTGACAAATAAGTGTCTTTTCAGAAAAGATTGATTCAAATTTCCTGGAAAGTACCATGTACTTCAACTATACCAATCAGAATCTAGAATGTAAGCAAATGCTAAAAAAATCATTATTTTTATGGTTTTTCAGTGCTATTTTCACTTATTTTTATGTTATTTGATGCTATTTAGATGAATAAGGAAGTTTTCCAAAGCATAAAGTTAAAAGTTTCCTGCCAAAATAGAAACTTCCTGATAACACCAGAAATGACGTTCTAACATCACTTATTCTATTTTATTCTTCTAAAAATTGTTATAAGACTATGTATTAGACTTAAAATATTTGATACCTAAACCAGTGTGTGTTAGCTAGAAATAGAAAAACTTCAACTGCTCCCATTTCTCACCTCAGGGAAAGCCATAAAACAGTGGGTGCTAATGACTTTCTGAAAGGGAAATATATACTTAGAAACTTCAAACTTATTTGAGAGAGTAAAAACTTATCTAGCTAACAGATGTATCAAATTAAACTAATTTAAAAATATTTTTTTTGCCTAGTATGTAGTGAAGTGAGTTTCATGGGAAAAATTTTACAGCTAAAATGTTTCAGATAAAACATTAATGGTTTAATTAAATAATCAATCAACATAAAAATTAAAAAAATTAGAGCTAAAAACAGAAAATATAGCTACTTTAGTTCATTTATTTACAAGTGCACTTTGATGAAAGAGCTCAAGTGGGTGTGGTTTTGGCAGCAATTTTCCCAGGCGTCAGATTCTAAGTTACTTTTATTGGATAAAGCCAAATCTTTTAAGCCCGAAAGCACCAATTTGAGCTTAAAGGGACTGTGAGTAATAATTTTATCATCCAATGAAGTGGAAAAGGTTCTCCATAGACTTGACATAAAAAGGGTTTGTTTCACTGCATTAAAGTAACAGGATCCACATCGTAACAGAGCAAGTAATCCATAAACACGCTTGAAAGAAGGGATTTGACCTGTACCTTCTGCGGGCCACATAAACATTGAAAGGAGGTCATATGTGGCCCCCAGACCACAAGTTGTGCATCCCTGCTATAAGCAATGATGATGGCACTGTTCTGACCTGTCAACATTCTCTAGTCCTCTTGGGCATTTGTTAGCTTTCCAGAACCTATATATACAGTTATATTGGCTATAACTGTTTTCTGTGACTCACTGCTTCCAGATTTGTGCAACTGATACACATACCTGATTAAAGAGAAAAATCAATATATCAAAAAGACCCAACAACAACAGTATGGAGGCCTATGATCTGTCTTCTTTGAAAGTCATTAACTTGATGGAAAGGTCTTCTATCATGATGTCTAGATATTTTTTGTTTTCTCAAATATCTATACTTACCACAGAACATCCATAATAATCAATAACAATCTTTGTTCACTCTTGTATGCACTTAATGATACTAGTACTTCTATATGGGCAATGTCACGAGGCACGCAGACATGTTTAGATGACAAAATCAAGATCATTTGCATGTTTATCCATGAGAAGCTCCCTGCAAAAAATCATGCTGATCAAACCAGTTTTTAAAGTGCAACATTTTATTTGACCATGTACTTTGAAATTACAATTAGTAAGCTTTCACAATATTCAAACTATAATTTCATACATATCATTCAAAATACATAAAAACACAAAGATTTGAATTGCTAATGATTAGGATATGTTTGCTGTTAAGTCAATGCTTGATCATTCTGTTATAGATGCATGCTTTTTAATATTCAGAAATTTAAAAATAAAGGAAACTTGATCTGATTGTAACTAACAATAAAACTTTAATGTTCTGAGTGAGTTGTACAGGAAACTGGCTACATTCTTGAGCCACGTAGTTGTTCCAGAGAAGTTGGAAACCAAACTGGCAATATGGCTGACCAATCCTACTAAAGTACTCTCTACCATATCTTGATCAGAGGTGACTTTACAGATATATAATTTTTTTTGTAGATTGTTCCTACACTATATTGCAATATCTGTTCAGTTCAGACAAAAGTAAAATTCTAGATGTATCTAATAATTAAAACAGGTTATTTTATATTTAATTCAGTGGTTCCCAAACTTTTTTGATTCTTGGCACCCTTGCTAAATCTACATTTTCCCATGGTGCTGTATGTCAAATTCTAACAAGTACAATTTGCAAAATAGCCAATATTTTTTAAATTAAAAAGTTGGGATGTTAAGTAAAAAATAAATAAAACATGTATTTAAGATAACAAAAAATGTAATTGAACAAATTCAATTAATTATACAATACAATACAATACAATACTTGTTTATTGATTTAAATTATTTTTACAATGGGGGAAACAGATTTGATTATACAGTATTATTTAGTATACATGGTTATAACTTGTCACAAAAATTCCAAAGATTTGGAAAGGAAGGAGAAGACCTTAAATAGAGTGAGTTTAGACATATCTTCGTTTTTCAAATGACCATGCCCAAAATCCCATCAAAACAGAACACTTCAGTTGATATGTCACCCGACAAGAACCAAACAAGTGAACCAAGAGGCTTTCCTCTTTGTTTCCGCAATAACTACAAAATTTATATCTCTTGACATATTAATCCGATAGCCCTTTACGATGATCCAAAATTTGTTAAGCCTAAGTTGCATAATGAGGCTTTTAGTGAAAAAATTGGTCTCACAGTTTAAGTAGTTAGTTTTGCTGTACACCAACCCAGGCGTGATTCAAACAAGTTCACTTGCTTGGTCGAAATAAACGAAGTATCCTGACTCCACAACTGATCTGACTTGGTTTGAATTAAAACATTTAAATAAGTTCTCATCAGTAAAGCTGTTAATTATAATTAATTATATAATTAACTTATTCATCCCATTTATTCATGAGCCTGTTGACCACTCCACATTTTCTCAAATCTTGGAATCAAACTGGACACAGCCACCCTCATTTTCTTCTCCACATTGATTTTCGTGCAATGCTTAGTTTTTATCACAGTGACAAACTCAGCTTCACACAAATAATAAGTTGCAAATAGAATTAAGATTCTCTGAGCTTTCCCACTCAGAAGGGATATTCATCTTTTATTGATATCCAAAACTCAGTTAATTCCACGCTGCTAAATTCTGTTTACAACATATTGCCACAAGACAACTCAATAAGATTCTCTTCTTCTGAAGCAGTAAATTCAGATGGAGCACTGGCATTAAGTGGATCTTGAATCCATGCAAATGTATTATCCATTACATTTAACTATTATTTATTATGCATATTATCATTTTGAAAATATTTCTCCAATCAGTTGATAAGTTGTGATAAATATTCTCCAAAAATAGATTTTATATCTCGAGAGAAATCAACTCTATTGAAAGTCAAAAACTGTTGCAACAAAGGGAAATAGTCTTTCCCTCCATCTTCATTTATTTTTCTTTTCATAATTTTAATTTTTTTAAAATAAAAACTGAAATTTTCTCAATCGACTTTAAAAGATGAATGTTGCTTCCCTTCGGGGAGAGATTCAGAGCATTCAGCTTTTCAAAAATATCACATAAGTATGCTAGTTTACCAAAGAATCTTCATTCACAAAATTTTCAGCATACTTCGGCATTCTCTTTAAGAAAAATATAAATTTCCTGTACAGTTCAAACATACGAGATAAAACATTACCTCGAAAGAGCGATGGCTCTCTCGAGGTAATGTTTTGTACTTCCTCAAGTGCTGTAGTACAACAAAGACATGTGTTTGGATCCCATATCCTCACATAATTTTTTGAAAAATCCTGCCTTCAATGGCCGCATTTTTATACAGTTTACTACTTTACTACATATTCTAAGACCTGGTTCAATGTAGGATTCAGATATTTTGATGAGAGTGCTTCCCTGTGAATAACGCAATGTGTCCACAGTGCAACAGGGTCTTTGCTTTGAAAAAGTCCTTGCAATCCTCCATAACACCCAGACATAGAACAAGCAAACAAGCAACATCAGTAAAGATACTAATGCATTTAGTCCACTCCAAATTATTTCCAGATACAAAAATATCAAGGAGCTCGAACAAGTTGTGAGCCTTAGCACCAGCAGCAATATTTTTACAAAACAGAAAGTCTTCTACAATGTTATTACTATCTATAAACTATACATAGCAAATCAAGTGAACATCATTATTTTCTGTCCCCTCATCCAGCTGCAACCCAAATTCCTTTCTTTTTATTTTTGCAATTAACTGAACATTGGAAGTCCTTCACTATCTGCTGTATTTTGCAACTGATGGTGTTATTGGATGAAGGCACTTTTAAAAGCTGCTTCCAAACAGACTCGCCAATCATAATGTTCACCATACCTACAGCAGAGGGTAGAATGTGTTTTTCTGCAATGGCATAAGGCTTTTTACATTTTGTGATTCTATGTGCCACCTTGATTACTAAGTTAATGATTTGAACCAGGTCTGCTAGATGTCACATCTTATAACATTGAATTGAAAGTGAAAATGAAAATTTTATATTATTATATGGCATCCCTAGGAAACCACAGCTCCCTAGGGTGCCGCAGTATACACTTTGGAAACCACTGATTTAATTTAATCTACTTTTAAATCTAGTAAGGGGAACTGCTGGTCACCAGTGAACTTGTGAATACAAATCAGCTTGCCATAGTGTTAATATAGCAAAAAAATATAATTTAAATGTTATTGTGCAACTGAGCTGAATATTCTTAAATGTGTTAACACTAAATTTAATTATATGTTTATTAATTTGCCCTGAATCGAGTCAAATCCATGATACCTTCCTTGTTCCACCCAACAAATATCTCTGATATGCAAAAAATGAACAGAATAGACTGCATAAGGAAGTGAATAAGGATAATCAGTCTAATAATTCAATGAATGAGAAATCCAACATGCAGAAGATTGTTTTTTTTTTTTTTTTGCTGTAATATACCTGTACATACAGGGTTTAAATAAATAAATAAATATCTATTTTTCTATTAATTGATTTGCTGATTTTCAAGAAATTTTTAATTTTGTTGTTTGATGTAGGGACTAGAATAATATTTATGGTGTTAATATTTTTTGTTTTTTTCAAAAGTTACCTGATTGTAATCTTGATTGTTTCAGGTAGCATTTCTTTAAGAAAGAAATATATAAAACAAAACCATGCAATAAGAAGTTAAAATTAGCTATAAACAGATGTTTGAATGAAATTACACCAAATGAGTGTCAACATCTTGTATTGTAATGTACATTACTTGCCAAAGCAAACTGCAGCTTTAATTAAAGCCAAAGGTGGTCCAAAAAGATTTTAAACAAGTATGGTCTGATATTTTTATCACTGAATTTTGCCGATCTAAAACTTTTGTCTCATGTAAGCAAATGAAATAAATTTTTTGTAATGTTAAATATGCATTAAAATTCTATTGTGTGAATTTTTTTCTATTAAATAAATATTAAATTTTGAGGAAAAAAAACAAAAATTTCTAAAATGTAACTAAAAATAGTTAAATGCAATCAAAACTACATAATTCATTTTTTTTAAGGTGGTCTAATTCTTTTGGCAGGGGGTTGTATTATTGGTTTTTCAGAAACTTTGATATTAAAATGAATGAAGTACATAGATTACAGTTAAAACAAGAATATTTTGTTTTATTCCTTGAATAAATTCAGGAAATAGGAAAGCCACGTATCTGGCAGATTATTATTAATTAAGAAACCAATTGGTGAGTTATTAAAATACCAGATAAACACACTTTTTTACTTTATTGAAGACTCAGCCATGTGTGTATGCATCAACTTGGGTAGAATTGAAAATTAGTATAACTGTATATGTACATTCAATAATATCAAGAATACTATAAAAACTGAAGAAAATTTATTTTTTACTTTTTGGTACATTTATGTGAATAAAAGCACATCTTTAAAATTTTTTTTTATTTTAGAGTATCCACTGATTAAATTAATATTTCTCAATTCACCATTTAATAGTAAAAAAATTTTCATATAGATGAGATTAAATAGGGATTTCATTATAATTAATAAGATTATATGTGAACTGTCTAATAATAATTGTTACAGATGTAATGATAGAAACTCTAAACTTCATACTTTTTATAGTTTTAAGCTTCTTGACTCTAAAAAAATTGAGATAATTATTAAATTCATATTTTTTGCTTATGCAACAAAGTTCACAAATTACAATTCCAACATGTTTCCTTAAATTGGAAATTATTAAAGATAAAAAGCTAGCTTCTGTATACATTTTTTAATCAGTCTGATGTAAAGATGATATTTAATTTGTGAAACTATTCTCAAAAATTTATTGTTCAAGACTACTGTAGTCTTATTTTTCTTTTATGTTTAGAAATTGTATGAGAAACTACTGTAATAACATTGTTCTTAAAACTAACAATTGTTATATAAACATTGTATTATAATCCCAGGTAATAAGAGAAATCACTCCTCACACAACAAAAATTTACTGAATTGAAATCTAATAATAAATTAATTTTACTAAAACTAAAAACATAATCCAAAATGTAATAAAGAATAATTCTACACAACTATAAAAATTTTTCATTCTTTCTTCTTTCTTTCTTCTCAGTCCTATGCCCTTCAGAAGGCATGGTGATATTACAAATTGACAGCTTTAATTGTATCTTTCCACTGCTCCCAGTGTTGTGCCATGTGGATGGCTTCATACATTGTATGTCCTGTAATCATCATTACTTAGTTTGCCCACCTAATCCAACATCTGGCTCTAGGGCATTTGCCATCGATCTTCCCTTCTAGGATTTGTTTCTCAAATCCATTTTTGTGTCTGGAAATATGTCCCAAGAAGCGAAGATAAAATTAGTATATTTTAGTGGTAAGGCGTGTTGGGATTTTCAGTTGATTTAGGATGAAACAATTTGTTCGGTGCTCTGTCCAAGAGATTCTCAGCATTCTTCTATATGTCCATATTTCAAAGGAATCAAATTTCTTCCGAGAAGTGGCATTAATGGTCCAGGCATATGAGGCATATGTGGCAATCAGAAAAATAAGCGTTCTTATGAGCTTTAGTTTATTAAAAATAGTGATTGCAGAATCTTCCAAATTCTAAATAATTTAGATGTTGCATCATGAACAAGGCAGATTCTGCATTTAATTTCATTATCGCATCCTCCTTTATTTGTAAGAAGTGATCCAAGGTAAACAAATTCATTCACCTCCTTATAGCCTGCAATTTCCTTAGTATGTATCAAGGAATGATCAATTATCATAACTTTCGTTTTACTTCCATTAATCAGCAATCCATATTCCCTGATCTCAGTTTCAAGACTTTTCATAATATATTCAAGTTCTGATTCGTTGGATGGTATAATAAGTCAGCGTATCTCAGGTTGTTAACTTTACGGCCCTCGATGGAAATGCCTCTGTTCCAGTTATCTAATACCCTTCTCATGATTATTTCAGAATACTCATTAAAGAGTAAAGGGGAAAGAATACATCCCTGTCTTACACCACCTTCAGATGTAAATGTATTAGACATAGTTTTGTTAACTCTTACTCTTGCAGAGTTATTCTCATATAAATTTCTAATCATTGAAATAAGATGGCATGGGACTCCCATGTTCTGAAGAGAGGGCCGCAATTTGTGCCATTTTACACAATCAAAAGCTTTGATATAGTCTACAAAACAAAGGCAAGCTTTGACATTAAATTCATAGGCTTTTTCAATGATTTGTCGAGCGTTCAAGATTTGTTCACGAGTTCCTTTACCAGGGATAAACCCTGACTGTTCTTCAGCTATTTCAGGTAATAGAAAGGGTTTCAAACAGTTATTAATTATTTGGAGCATTACTTTACTGGCATGGTTAATTAGCTGATAGTTCTGTAGTTACTACAGTCTGTTGATGCACCTTTTTTTTATAAATTAGAATAAATATTGATTTACACCATTCCTCTGGCCATCTCTCAGATTTCCAAATTAAGGAACAGATTTTAAGAAATATGTCAACACCCAGTTTTCCCATTGCTCTTAAAATTTCAAAGGTTATGTTGTCAGGTCCCAGAGCTTTGTGATTTCTTAATGCATTTATGGCTTTTTCTACCTCTGATTTAAGAATAGATGTTCAACTTCCCCTGTTCATCCATTCTGAAGTTGATTATTACCATTTGTTTATCCAATATCTTTATAAAGTTTCTCACAATACTTCCTCCAGACATCCACAATTCCTTCCACGTCAGTTATGATTTCATTTTCATCATTTTTAATTATTTGTGTGCATGGTTTGAACTCTCTTGCTAGATAACTAACTTTATCATATAGTTCATGAGTCTGATTATTATTTGCATGAACTTCAATTCCATTGCAGTCCATGCAAATAAACTAAATTCATTATTGACAGAAAATATAACAACTTAAATTACTGAAATTAAAATAAAACTATTAAATTAATTAATAGTCACAGAAAACTTAACTCTTCAAAATTTCTAAAAAATATTCAACTACTTACTTTATCTGCACTTTTAAAGTATAACTTGTAATTAGTAACAAAGAGAGTTCCACGTACAGGTCCAATATAAGGACATAAATATGTCACATCACGAGCTGTAATATTTAAAATTATCATCAAATAAACATTACATTGTATGAATTCTTTAAAATATGATAAATTTATTATTTAAATGAAACTGTAGATTTTTTTTTAAACACAACTCCAATCCTTTTTAGGTATAATAGACTAATTAATTAATAAGTAAATCTAAATTCAGATGTTATACAAAGTATAACATCTGAATTATATCAAATTATAGATTGATTATATATTTTGAAAAATAAATTAAAGTATTTTTACTGAAATATTTTAACAATAAGTCAAAAAATATTTTATTAAAAAATTTTATGTTAATTAATGTCTCATAAAATTTGTATTTAAATATTTTCTACAGTATGTAGATCAGTGTTTCTCAACCTCTAACGAATCGTCGCCCCCTTCAATGTAGTATCGCCCCCTTCACTTCAAAATTCTGATGCCGAGGGCCAAGGCTAACGCCAAATTCGTACTGCATTGAATAGACTAGTGACTAGTATAATGTTATTTGTTTAATTATTGTACGATATAACAAATAAAATATCTAATTATTCTTAATATAATGTTTTACTATATCGCCCAGAAAATTGTTTGTCGCCCCCCCCAAAATATAAATTGTTACTAATCGCCCCCTCAACATAGAAAAACGCCCACATGGGGGCGATATCGCCCCCGTTGAGAAACACTGATGTAGATCTTCTAAAAACTATTTTTCTCTAATTACTGTTAAGAGAAAAAAACTGATTTGTTATTTGATTTAAATTAGAATATGTCTGCATATAACTTTTTTTATTCAGATATCACTATTACTATGCTGTTATAATAACCCTGTCTGATACAATGAGCAAATGAATATACTATATCTAAATGTAATCAAATAAAACTTCATAAAATACAGTAAAACCTCACTATATGACCTTAATCCATTCCTAATGTTTGGACTTATACCGAATAAGACATATACCAAACCAACCTTTCCCATAAGAAGTAATGTAAAAATGATTAATCCGTTCTCATGTAAAAAAAATGGCTGGCTTTAAACACCTCACTTTCCTGGCAAGTTCGTGCTTGATTTTTCACGAGATCAGCATGTATCTTTTTAGCTTTCTCGCAAATAATTGCTATCGATACAATGCCGCCAGCACACTGTTTTTCAGTTATCCAAAGCAAAAGCAATTTCTCAACATAATCTAATGTCTTTGATCTCTGTTTAGAAATTGATTTAACTCCTTTCGCAATGTTAGCAGATTTAATAATGTCTTTATTTTTCATGATTGTCGATATTGTCATTCTCGGAATACAGTATGCAACAGTTAAATCTTTAACACGCGTGCCACCTTCATATTTCTCAACAATCTCTTTTTTCAGTTCTATTGTGATTGTAGTCATTTTTTTATTTTTCTGTTGCCTTTTTGCAATTCATGATTAATAAAAGTAATAAAATGTCACTTACAGATTAAAATCAGAAGAAATTTAACAAAGTTATAAACTGTGGCACCGCGATAGTCTAGTCTGGTCTAGTACACCGATAGTGCTACTTGTTCATAGATGGCGCCTATAATTGAATTAAGTCGTATACCGAGCAAAATTAGTTTCATCCAAACAGGATGTATTCCGAATTGGATGTATTCTAAAGCAGACGTATACCAAGGTACCACTGTACCATTTTGACAACAAACACAGAACCATTAATTACACAGTAAAATATTTACTAATTGAACATTTTCAATCCTTTTTCATTGACCTTCATCAGGAAATATATACATTACATATAAAGTAAATATTTTAAAACCTTGGCCAAAAGTATTTAATTTTAAAAAATAAAAAAATATCATGAATATACAAAGTAAAATTCTTGTCTTCGTTTTCCTTCTGTCATTTACACCAGTATATTCATGATATATCTTACATTTTTAAAAATTAAGTACTGTTGGCCGAGGTTTTAAAAAGTTTACTTTATGTATTATGTGACCAAAGGGTCAGTACCTCTTCGATGCCCTGTCAGGGATGACACCACCATAACCCAATTGACATGGAAGCCACAACAGCGAATTGCTTTTGATTAGAAAGGAGGTCACATGAGTGGCCAGGTGAGTGAACGGATTCAGATTCAGATGGAAGCAACTGTGACAGCATTGGAAGCAAGACACTCAGAGACTGATTTTTGTTAAAGTCCAGATTATCCAGAAAATAAAACACCTTAACTTGTTGCTGAGAAATATAACTGAAAAACTAACATTTTCAACCTGATTAACAGGCCATCATCAGGTCTAAAAAACAAAAATGGAACAGATACGTTCCATGTATAGAATATAAATATTTAAATCAAAATTTAGAACAAAAATTTTCAAAAATATACAAGAGAAACAAAAGAAAATATAAAAATAACACAAAATAAAATTAAAATATACAAGAGAAACAGAAGAATATATAAAAATAACATAAAATAAAATAAAAAATATAATAAATCTTCCAATAAACTAATTCTAGCTTGAGTTTTCAGTGAACTTTTTAATCATGTATTTCCACGCCGACGACAGGCTCTCAGCATCTCTTGCATTTAAACATCCCTCACGTTGCCTACTCCTATATATTTCAATCTTCTCTGCCGTCATTGATAAAGTGGGGGAAGATACTGGTTTTATAATTGTTGCCTCGTCACATTTTACCACCGAACCTTGGACTTGCGACATTTGCGACAAAACTGTAGCATTGGTTCCTTTTTTTACGTTATAACAATGTTCTTTTAGTCTTACTCCTAAGCTCCTGTTGGTGACGCTGATGTAGTCTTTCTTAACATCTAGTTGGATGTTCTCATAAGGAACTTTATAGACACCTGGTTTTTCCTCTGTTTTTATTGTATCCTTATCATTCCTCAATATCTTATATAAATTTGGGGCTCTTTTTAAAACCATTCTTGCTTGTTTCCTGTTAGCAACTTCTTTCATAATACTGTTCAAATTACTGTTATATGTAAACTTCAAGCGTCTATTGGGAGTGGTATTTAAGCTTTTTCTCTTTTTGTTCCTTTCATATTTTTTGAGTAAGCCTACAATAGTGCTTTTCTTGTAACCTAGGGTCTGGGCTACTTGCAATATTCTATCAATTTCTTTATTCCTGTCACCGATTCTATCACAATACAAATAAGCTCTTCTAATCAAAGTTTGAAATGCGGCCATTTTATATCGATATGGATCCATGGACTGTGCTGGTATATATAGCGGGGTGTGAGTAGGTTTAATATATACGCTGGTGGACAAATGATCTCCCATGAACTTGATATTAATGTCCAAGAAGTGCACATTCAAGGAACTTTTTTGCTCTAATTTTAATCTAAGACCATCTTTGTTATTATTGATTCTATTCAAAAATTCATGTATCCTGCTATTATTTCTCCATAATATAAAAATGTCATCCACATATCTGACGAAATGTATGACATCTTCCTTAAAATTTCGTAGAACTCTTCTTTCTAATCTTCTATCTACTAACTCGCAAAGAATTCCAGAGAGGGGACTTCCCATCAGAACCCCTCTTTTCTGCCTGTATATTCGACCACAAAAAGTAAAACAAGATTGATGGCATACCACGCTAGCTAGTTCCCCTAGGTCTTGGGTGTAACTAAGCAACTGAGGGTTGTTGTTATACATGAAATTCAATAATGCCTCCACACATGATTCAATCCTTACTGAAGGATACATACTTTCATAATCTAAAATGGTCACTACTTCGTCTTCCATTAAAGAAATATTTTGCACTTCCTTCACAAAAACATGGTTCAACCATGGTTTTGTGCGCTCAGGGACTTCCTTCTCTCTAGCATAGAGGACACCACATTGCACCACGATATACTCAAGTTAGCGCATCTGGCTTGTTACAATTCCATATTCCAATTCAAGAACACCATATATGAGCAAGGAAGAGGAGTGCCAATGGGAAGTCCATTATCTGGAGATTTGTGCGAAATGGTAATCAGGATATTAGAAAGCAAAGTCCTTCCCTCCTTTCTCCCAAATATTAGCCTGTATGAAAGATATATCGATGATATAATTATCCTTTGGAAAGCTGAGCCGGATATAGATCATTTTATGGAGTCAATGAACAACAACCCATATGGCCTAGTAGTGGAACTGGAACAACAAAGTAAGGATAGAGTACACTTCTTGGATATAGCAGGGATGCACAACCTTTTCTGAAGAAGGGCCAAATTAGGATTAAGTTTACTGACTTGGGGCCGGACCTCCAAGTGATTAATGCGATGGCTGAGATTGGATGCTGGTGGCAATCTTCTTGATGTCTAGCTAATGGCAGATGTTGAAACAACCAGCAGATTTTCCAAATTCTCGTTGGTTAACCTGTTCCGTGTTTTGCACTTGTTTAAATTCATAAGCGAAAACGCTTGTTTGCATACATACCATGTTTCCCCGAAAATAAGACCTAGCAGAGGTTTTGCTGAATTGCTAAATATAAGGCCTCCCCCCG